AATAAAAAATAAATGGGTGAACTGAGGGCGCCTGCGTGGCTCAGTCGGTTGAGCGTCCGAGGTCGGCTCAGGTCATGATCTCGCGGTTCGTGGGTTCGAGCCCCGCGTCGGGCTCTGTGCTGACAGCTCGGAGCCTGGAGCCTGCTTCTGATTCTGTGTCTCCCTCTCTCTGCCCCTCCCCTGCTCACGCTGTCTCTCTCTGTCTCTCAAAAATAAATAAATGTAAAAAAAAACTTTTTTAATTAAAAAAAAATAAAGTATATAATTCAGGGGTCTTGGGTCTATTCACAGAGCTGTGTAACTTCCAGTAGAATCAATTTTAGGATATTTTCATTACTTCGAAAAGAAAACCCATTTCCCCACCAACCCCCCAACCCTAGACGAGTGCCAGTCTGCTTTGTGTCTCTGGATTTACCTGTTCTGGATACTTCCCATCAGTGGAATCATACACTGTGTGGCCTGACTGCCTTCACTTAGCAGCATGTTTTCAAGGTCCATGCATGTTGTTCTTCAACTGATGGACATTTGGGTTGTTTCTTGCCCTTGGCCCTTGTGAAGAATGCTGCTGTGAACATTCGCATACAGGTCTTTGTGTGGACATGGGTTTTCATTTCTCTCTTTTTTTTTGAATGTTTATTTATTTTCAAGAGAGACAGAGACAGAGAGCAAGTAGGCGAGGGGCGGAGAGAGAGGGAGACCAGAATCCGAAGCAGCTCCAGGCTCTGAGCTGTCAGCACAGGGCCCGACGCGGGGCTCGAACCCACAAACCACGAGATCATGACCTGAACCGAGGTTGGGTGCTTAACCAACTGAGCCACCCAGGCACCCCTGGTTTTCATTTCTCTTGGGCAGATCCTTGGATTGGAATTGCTGGTCACATGGTACCTGTTTCTGTTACTAAGGGGCTGCCAGACTGTTCCCCACAGTGGCTGCACCAGTCCGTGTGCTCACCAGCAAGGCTTGAGGGCTCCAACTTTCTCTCATCCTTGTCAACACTGATCATCTCTCTCCTTGATTACAGCCCCTCCCAAAATAATTTCAATAGACTGATCTTAGTTATCTTCACGTCAACCCTGCAAGTCTAGATGGTGGCTCCCCCACTAAGGGAAACAGGCTCGGAGGGGTGAAGCGAGTTGGTTGCCCAGGACCGCTTCAAGAGATGCCTCTGTCAGAGACACAAGGAGTGCTGGGGCCCAGGGGCATCCCCGGGGGTCTTTGCAACTTCTTTCTCCCTTGGAGAGAGGTCTGTCCTCACTCAGGGACTACCCACAGATCAGGGCCGCGACCTGCCCAGAGAGGTTGGGGGTGTTAGGGCCCCTGTGGCCCGGGGCTGCTCATCCGCGCTCTCGGTCTGTCTAGATAGTTAGGAGGTATGGTTGTAGCCCAGTCGGGTCCTGGCAGCATGAATGAGGGCCTTGCCCAGAGGAAGGGCACCTCCTGTCTCTTGCACATGGACTAGTGGCGGCCTTGTTCTCGGTGCCCCAAGGCTCAGGCAGGCCCGGGCTGCTCCCGAGGGAGGGGGGTGAGGCCACCGCCCGGGCAGGCTGTGACCTCACGGCCGGCCCGTCGCTTTCGCAGGAGCTGGAGCTGGTGGAGGACGTGTGGCGGGGGGAGGCGCAGGACCTCCTCTCTCAGATTGCCCAGCTGCAGGAGGAAAACAAGCAGCTCCTGACCAACCTCTCGCACAAAGACGCCAGCTTCTCGGAGGAGGAGTTCCAGAAGCACGAAGGTAGGAGGAGGGGCCAGCCCGGGAGGTCAGGGGAAGGCTGCTCCCACCGTGATCGCCCACCTCCTCGGTAGCAGTCATGGTCACGGTCCCCGAGTGAGGGAGGGCGCGTGCTGGGTCCCAGAGCCTTTTGTCTCGTGTGGTTCCTGTCACTCTGCCTGGGAGAGAACGTGTAGCCCTGCTTTACAGAAGGTGAAACAGGTTCGTTCAGCGGATTGTCATGGGTTCCTCCCTTTCGAGGCTCCGTTCTAGGCACGGGGGACACACAGTGGACAAGACGAAGCCCTTGCCCTCGTGAAGCTTGTGTTCTAGGGCTGGGGAGGGGCTAGATGATAACCATGTAAACCAGTAGATGGCATGGTTCCAGATGGTGACCAGGCCTCTGGAAGAACCCGACCTGGGGGTGTGATAGAGGTGATTTGGTGGGGGGCTTCTTTAGATGAAGTGATCAAGGAAGGCCTCTCTGACAAGGTGACACTGGAGCCCTAGTGAAGTGATGGAGTGAGCAATGCAAATATCTTGGGAGAGAAGCAAGTTCAAAGGCCCTGGGGCATGCGTTCTGTAAAACCAGGAGGGCCAGTGTAAGAGGAGAATGATCGAGGACAAAGGTGGTTAAAGATGAGGTCAGAGGGGTCAGCAGGGTCGGATCACATAGCCCCTGAGAGACGAAGGTTTGGATTTTATTCCAAGTGTGCGGGAAAGCAACTGGACTCTTGCCATGGGCACACGTTGAACAATGAATGACTGAGGGTGGTAAACCAGATCTGAATGGCACTGGAGCCCCTAAACTGTCATTCACCCTGCAAGCAGTTATCTAGACCCTTCACTCCAGGCCCTCTGCTGCTTTTGGGGATGCAAAGACAGACATGGGATATGCTCTGAGCCTGCATCAGCTCTGTTCTCCCCTGGAGCCTCCTTCCTAATCAGAGGCTGCCTGTTGTCCCAGGAATGTCAGACCTCTCTCTTCCTCTTGAAGAAACTCCCTGGGGACCCACACAAGCCCTCCCACCTCCCCCTGCTCGATGGGGTGGGAGATGGGCTTGCATGGGGGCTGAAGTTCAGAACCATAGTTACGCCTCTGTGAGGTTAAAGTAGCAGCACACTGATACGGACTGTAGGTGCTGCAATTCTGTTTTCTTTGGGTTTCCTGTGTTGACATGCATATCGTGCAATGAAAGCAAAAGTCTTAGTGGTTAGAAGGATTGGCTCCAGAGCCAGACTGCCCCGGTGTGAATCCTAACCCAAGACTTACCTCCTAAGTGACTTTGACCAAGTCGCTTGATCTTTGTGTGCCTAAGTTGCTCTCCACGTGAAAAATGGCAGAAACACTGTGTGTCACTCTTAAGGTTGTTGTGACAATTCGATGAATTAATATCTGTAGTTTGCTTAGAATAGTACCTGGTACGTACACACAGCAAGTGTCAGAGCTGTTATTACTGAATTTCTGTTACCTAGTCCAACCTCCTTATTGAACAAATGAGAAAAATTGAGGCTGAGAGAGGGGCAGTGAGGTGCCCAAGGTCATACAGCAAGTTAGTGGTGAAGTCAGGACTGGAGCTTGAGTCTGCCAAAGCAGCCCCCCACCCCCACCCCACCCCCCAAAGAAGGCTTGTACCTCTCTGGGACCTCTTGATCTCAGGCCACCAAATGGGAATCGTGCCCAGCCCCAGAGATTGGGCCACTGTGATATCTTAGTGCCCAGGCGCTGACAGTTCTGGACAGAACACTGTTTATTCATTGACCCTTTGTAAACTCGTTTGTCACTGAAGTGCCTGCTCTCTGCCTGGTGCTCTGGCTGGATTGCCATGTTGGAGGCCAAGAGGCACCTGCTAGGGCCCGAATCTCCCGTCCACAATGCCAGAGGGGGCAGGGATGGAAGAGTGTGGCCGAAGGAAAACTATTATTCTACTTACAACACTCTGACCCAGATGTGTGGGGTATTTTTTCCCCACACCAACCAATTTTCCAGGCACCAGCTGTGTGCCCTAGAATTTAATTCACTTGTGACACTGTCTACCCCAGAGTTAGCATCAGACTCCACAAGTTGAAGGATCAGTCCCACGAGACCGCCCCCACTTCAGGTGTCCTTTGCAGGCGATGGGTCCCCAGGATACACACATTTCTATCCACCTTGGCTGCAAAGTCACAGGTTCCCACAACCACCCCCCACAAGCTCAGTACTTTTCTGGAACGGCTTACAGAACTCAGAGACACGCTATTACTGGTTTATAAAGGATACAAAGGATATTATAAAGGACTCAGATGAATAACCAGATGAAGAAGGGTACACAGGGTGAGGTCTGAAAGGGGTCCAAGCTCAGAGATTTCTGTCCCAGTGGAGTTGGGGTGTGCCACCGTTTGTGCACATGGATATATTCATCAGCCTGGAGGCTCTCTGAACCCCAGAGACCGATGGAAGTGCCATTCTGTAGGGATGCACGATTAAATCACTGGCCATTGGCGATTTGCTTTGTGATTAGGTCAATCACCAGCCCCTTCTCCCCCCTAATCACCAATCATATAGTTGGTTACTCTCGCAACCAGAACCCCATCCTGAAACCATCTAAGGGGGCCACCAAGAGTCACCTCATTATCATAAACTCAAAAATGGCAGAAAGGAGCTTATGACAATAGAAGATACTCCTCTCCCCTCTTCAGGAGATCACAAGTTTTAGGAATTCTGTGCCAAGAACTGGGGCCAAAGACCAAATGCATATATGATACGTATATATCATACATATATGTGTGTGTGTGTGTATATATATATATATATATATACATATTATATGTGTGTGTGTAAAGTGCTTAGCACTTATATTCATATTCACATACATAAAATGTATATTATGTATATATAATTATATATTATATGTGTAAATATATTTTTCTTATTATATTGCAATATCACAGTGGCATGGTAATACATACTCAGTCCCTTGAATGAAAAATAAACCCAGCAAGTGTAATACACAAAGCAGGAGATTATAGGATAGGAGAGTTAAACCAGTTATACTGGAAGTTACATTAAATGTAAACGGACTAAAAGTTCCAGATAAAGATTGTCAAAAAGGATTTAAAAAATTTTTTTTCATGTTTATTTTTGAGAGAGACAGAGAATGAGTAGGGAAAGGGCAGAGAGAGTGAGACACAGAATCTGAAGCAGGCTTCAGGCTCCAAGCTGACAGCACAGAGCCTGATGCAGGGCTCAAACTCACTAACTGCGAGATCATGACCTGAGTCGAAGTTGGACACCCAACTGACTGAGCCACCCAGGTGCCCCTGTCAAAAAGGACTTTAAAAGTTCAACTGTATGTTGTTTCTAAGAGACCTCTCTGGTAAAGGTTGAAAGTAAAAGGCTGAGAAAAGATGTACTGTGCAAACACTAACCAAAAGAAAGGTGGTGTGGTTATACGGATGTAAGATAAAATAGACTTCAAGGCAGAGATCACTCTGATGATAAAAAGTTCAGTTCACCAAGAAAATGTGGTTTTCAATTTGTGCATACCTGGTAATTTAGCCTCAAAGTTTATAAAGCAAAAGTGAGGGGCTCCTGGGCAGCTCAGCCGGTTAAGTGTCAGACTTCAGTTCAGGTGATGATCTCACAGGGTTCGAGCCCCACATCGGGCTCTGCACTGGTGGTGTTGAGCCTGCTTGGGATTCTCTGTCTCCCTCCCTCTCTGCCCCTTCCCCACTTGTGCTCTCTCCCTCTCTCTCTCAAAATAAGTAAATAAATAAACTTAAAAAGAAATCAAAAATGAACAGAAATATGTCCAGAAGAGGCAAATCTATAGACAAAGCAGACTAGCGGTTGCCAAGGGCTGCAGGGAGGTCAGGAAAGGGCGGGGGGTGGGGGGGTGACTGCTAAGGGGAATGAGGTTTCTTTAGAGGAGTGATAAAAACATAGTGGTAATGGGGGCGCCTGGGTGGCGCAGTCGGTTAAGCGTCCGACTTCAACCAGGTCACGATCTCGCGGTCCGTGAGTTCGAGCCCCGCGTCAGGGTCTGGGCTGATGGCTCAGAGCCTGGAGCCTGTTTCCGATTCTGTGTCTCCCTCTCTCTCTGCCCCTCCCCCGTTCATGCTCTGTCTCTCTCTGTCCCAAAGATAAATAAACGTTTGAAAAAAAAAAAAATTAAAAAAAAAAACAAAACATAGTGGTAATGATTGCACAGCTTTGTGAACATACTAAAAGCCACCAAATTCTACACTTTAAATATAATAATTTAAAAAGTGGACAAATTTATTTTTAAAAATTTTAATGTTTATCTATTTTTCAGAGAGACACAGAGTTCTAGCAGGGAAGGGGCGCAGAGAGAGGGAGACACAGAATCCGAAGCAGGCTCCAGGCTCCGAGCTGTCAGCACAGAGCCCTGCGCGGAGCTCAAACCCATGAACTGTGCGATCATGACCTGAGTTGAAATCAGATGCTTACTGACTGAGCCACCCTCCCCCAAAGTGGACAGAAATTAAGAAAAAATACATCCACAATCATCGTGGGAGATTTTAACATGCCTCTCTTAACGGACAGAGTAAACCAAAACCAAAACAGTAGGGACACCTGGATGGCTCAGTCAGTTGAGGGTCTGAATCTTGATTTCAGTTTAGGTCATGATCCCAGGGTCGTGGGATCGAGCCCTGTGTTGGGCTGTGCGCTGAGCATGGAGCCTGCTTGGGATTCTCTCTCTCTCTCTCTCTCTCTCTCTCCCTCTCCCCTTCTCACGCGTGCGCCTGCTCTCTCTCTGTCTCAAAAACAAAACAGTAAGGTTTTAGGATGTGATCAGTGGATTAGTAAAGCCATGTCCGTGTGTGAGGGAGGGGAGACCAGCCCCAGCCCTGCAGATCCTGGCCCGCTGAGCCCCGTGAGATGCAAAGCAGACAGAGCATCGGAGGTACGAACCTGCTGCAGCCTGTGGACGTAAACAGCCGAGGACTGGACTCAGGTGGGGCCAAAGTTTGACTTTCTTCCCTCAAAAAATTGCCTACAGCCCGAGAGCTGAAGGCAGGAA